ACCAGGAGGCCGAAGGTTGCACAGGGGCTGAGGAGGAAGATTTGATGGCAACCAGGGAAGCTTCCCCAGGGGGTCAAGGCTTTCCTTTCAGAGGTGGATTTACAGGACATTGTGGAGGGTGTTCCACCTGACTATACCAGGTTCTGTTGTAATGCAAATTTGACTGACTTTTAATTCTGATGGCGTCCATTGTTTGTCTTTCATGTTGGAGTGAATGATTGTTTACGTGTAATGTAGTGTTCTGTGTTTTCATGCGCATGCGAAGAAGATAAAAACACAATCTTATTTGCAGGATTTCCCAAACATCGAAATGGGACCACCGATGAAACCTGCAATTATTTCAACAACATGTAATGACAACATGATTAACTTCTGTATTTCTCTTGCAGATCAATTAAAGACGGCAGGCCCAAGGAGGACGACGCGTGCCAACGGGCAAACAATTATATAACCTACAGCCTGGAGATTTTGTGTTTCTTAAATATTTCAGGAAGAAGAAGTGATGATCCCAGAGAAGGTTGTGGATTTTCCTAAATCCACCAGGGTTCTCTCCAGCAAGTGGCGAGAAGTTCACTGGGGAATCGAATCGCTCAGAATCCCACCAAGGGGATTCCAACAAAGTATCTCTGAAAAAATAGGGATACCACCGACGGCCCACTCAGTAGGTGGTCTACCTAGCTGAGGCAGCATGGAGAACATGGTCGGGATGGGACATCGCCGCAGATTAACACCCACGTGGATGAAGGATGCCATACTTCATAACCCATAACTCTCCTGATGATGAGATTGAGAAAGTTTTTATTTCCAATAGACTCATTTCCTAATAATAATCCAGCAGATGAAGTTTGGAGCCAGTCTGCAGTGACTCTTCCTTCTGCTTTTACTGCTGCAGGTTTCTTGGTTGTCATATTTTCAGTTATTCTGGGACTTATCTGCAAAAGACGTCCACAACGGTGAGAAACTAATTCAATATTCATAATTTCTTTTACCTAAATTCAAGCTTCAAAACTGAAGCTACTGATTTTTAATTTCACGTACAGTCTTTATCTGCATCTTCAATATGATTGTTTTATTTTAAATCTAAACTTTTATTTCTTTGATCATATTTTCTTAAACTTTACCTCCACATGTTATAAAACTTTAAGGAGTTTATGTTATTTTTAAAGCGCCTGTCTAAGAGCTGAAACATCTGGATCGTCTGCACAAGGAGAAACTGCCACTGTAGTGAGTAAATGTCCTTATTTTATAAGTAACTATTTTCAGATTGTCACAAAAAAGACTAGAAAATACAGGAAGAACATGTTTTCCTTTTATTCTGTAATAAACTGTCTAAAAACTTTTCCTCTAATTTTAGATTTTACATCCATTCAGCTAGTGGTTGTTTTTATAATGACACCCAGTACTACTAGTAACATCACAAACACTTGATGGCACAATATTTACTTTTCCTGAATACTTCAATAGTGAGCGTATTAACATAATCGATAGTTAGAAACGTCTCTGCCGTTTCCTAACCAGCTGCACATCATTTCCTGTCAATATCATATGTAACTGGAGAAAGTTTCTGATGAATTCTGGTTCAATAAACAGATTGTTTCAGCTCCAATAATGGAGCAGTGACAAAAATCCAAAAATATCTATATTGCATGTGCTTTTCAAAATGACCACAAGATGGCACTGTTTCCATCAGGCCCAACTGCACAATTCTGCCCCCTGACCCTGCTTCATCAGGATGCCCTGAACATCCACAGTCACGACAGTATGGACAGCCAGGACAGTTTGGACAGGATGGACAGTATGGACAGCCAGGTCAGTATGGACAGCCACAAAGCCTCACACTGGCTGATGTTTGTTTTATCTGCAGACAACAAGGACATTGAGCCAGAGACTGCTCCCAGAGACGATTCAAACCACAACCAGGTGGCCGAAGGTTGCACAAAGACCGAGGAGGAAGATTTGATGGCAACCAGGGAAGCTTCCCCAGGGGGTCAATGTTTTCCTTTCTGAGGTGGATTTACAGGACATCATGGAGGGTGTTCCACCTGACTATACCAGGTTATGTTGTAATGCAAATTTTACTCTGAATTCTGATGGCGTCCGTTTGTTTGTCTGTTTCATGTTGGAGTGAATGATTGTTTACATGTAATGTTTGTCTATGTGTGTGTGTCATTCGCATGCGAAGAAGATAAAAACACAATCTTATTTGCAGGATTTCCCAAACATCGGAATGGGACCACCGATGAAACCTGGAATTATTTCAACATGTAATGACAACATGATTAACTTCTGTATTTCTCTTGCAGATCAATTAAAGGCGGCAGGCCCAAGGAGGACGACCCGTGCCAGCGGGCAAACAATTACATAACCTACAGCCTGGGGATTTTGTGTTTCTTAAAAATTTCAGGATGAACTGATTACCGCAGTGAAGGTTGTGGATTTTCATGTTTTTGCTTCTCTTAATATCCAGAGGACAAAACACTTGCTGAAGTGATGTTTATCACACCTATTAGTTATTGCTTAATGGCGAAAGTCATTTCCAAGTTTCATTTACTTAGTTATTTGTTTGCTACCCACTAGAAAAAAAGGGTGAAGCTGTGAAGTAGATTTTTCTTGAAAGAGAAATTGTTTTATTTGCATCATACAGTGTAGTATAGTCAAGATGTTTTTTCGTGCAGCTGCAGAGAGGGTGTACAAACTAATTGAACAAGATGTCTCTAGGATCTTGCTGTTTTTCTCGTGTTCTTCTTTGCAAGGAGATGGTGTTTAGTTTTCACATCCTGTAGACATGATAGCGAATGAACTATCATGTCTACAGGATGAGACATGATAGTGAAACATGAAGGTTGAACTATTCCATCTGTTTTCCTTTGTTTCTTTTGTCTTAGAAGATTGAGTCTCCGCCTCTGTTATCAGAGGTCAATCAAGCAACTATGCAACTCTGAGTTCGTTAGAGCAGAATGATTTTTGCCTGATGCAGTGTATTTTTGCTCTCTGTCTGCAGATGTATTAAAGATTGTTTTTGCTCCCTGACGTTTCCCTGGAACTCAGTCTGTGAATTGTGCAACTTCACAGTATTTTTTCCATCTCAGCATCACAGTTAATGGTGAGACACTTCTATATCGCTTGAATCAAACTTATATGGTCTGTATATTCTCTAATAATGTTTGTTTTATTTCCAATACTCATTTCCTAATAATAATTCAGCAGATGAAGTTTGTGATATTCAGAAACGTCCCTGCCGTTTCCTAACAAGCTGCACATCATTTTCTGTCAATATCATATGTAACTGGAGGAAGTTTCTGATTAATTGTGGTTCAATAAACAGATTGTTTCAGCTCCAAAAAAGGAGCAGTGACAGAAATCCAAAAATATTTATATTGCATGTGCTTTTTAAAATGACCACAAGATGACACTGTTGCGCTAAGGGAGAGAATCTTAATTTTGGAACTGAACTGCACTGTATGCAAACACTGATCTTCTTTGCATTTAAGCAACAATTTAAAAGTGAGGGACAAGAAAAATTAAATAAGGAATAAATGATTAATGTGTCTATTTACTCCTGTCTTTTATTAAACAGTTCTTCAAATGTCTTTTCCCAACAGAGACATTAAATTATGTTTCACTTGACTTTGGCCATTTGCATGAAGGTTCTTATTACTATATTTTTGTCTTTTATTGTTCAGGATGAACTGTACTCAAGTCTCCAACAACAAACCAGAAACATTTATCAAACTGTCTCCTTTGGTCACCATCAGTATAAATCAGAAACAAATGTCACTGACGGGCTGGGAAACATTTATGAAAACATTTTGAATTAAACATCTGTCTTGATGCATACAACAGAATTTCCTCGTTATGTGGTACTTCACAACCTTTCTGTTGGTTTGCATGTTAAACTTTAACACAAAAACTCATTTTATTTTTTTTGGCATTTAACATTTTCTTTATTTCTACTTGATTTTGCTTTTATGTCATGTTTCTGACATATCTGGTGTTTTTTTTCTATGTTCCCCTTTTTTTCTGTAAACAGCTCCCACATTTTTATTTTAAAAATGATATATAAATAAATCTACTCCACCTTTGAAAATGATGGCCACTATTTCACCTGTATAGCACAATAATTTACAATAGGATCTGATTTCTGTTTCTACATGGAAGGATATAATTTTATGTTTCTTGATGGAAGATTAAAATAAAAACAGTCACTGAATATCCATGAACATTTTTGTTTTATTGCTACTTAAAAGTGATGCCACAATGCAAGCCTTTATATTGTTTTAGTTTTGTTATCTGCATAATTTGATTCTGGCTGTCGCTGAGCAAAAACCTTAATATCAAGATGTTAAGAATTTACTGTCATACAGTAAATAGTGATATTTCTGATGGCATCTGCAGCTTTGATAAACATTTAAGGAAAAATATATGTACTTATAAACATTTTAAAATGAAAGAACAAATGTATTAACTTTTTGTATTAACCAGCAGTTCTAATGCATTTGTATCCGAGCATCTTTGCAGTGAGATTCGTCTCTCGGATGTTTGTTGCATTTTTCTGTCTGGTTGCCAATATGTTGGTGTAAAAGTGTTGCATAAAGGAGCAATGAGGGACAAAGCCTACATAAAGCTGTAGCATGACCTTTAATCTTTTTGCAGCTCACATTCAAGATTATAAATGTGTGAAGACCACAAAGCAAACATGACATTTAGATCTCCTAACCCCACATTGTTGCAGAAAACAAGCAGGAAATCCTGCCGAGCGTCATAGAATGCTGAAAAAACTTTAATCTCAGATGTTACAGTACTGGAAAATATAATCATGGATAAAGGTTGGTTGTTTTGCTTTCAATCAAACTCACTTTTATTTGAGTTGTGCAGAGATAATTCCTGTTTGTGTGGTCTGTTGTTTCAAAGAGACGCCATCATGCAGGTGCATTTCCTTTAAAAGAAAAAAAAAAGAGTCACATCCTTTTGTGCTTGTTTGAGAGATGAGCGTTTGTGGTTTGTGTCGCCCAAAAGTTTTAAAGGACAGTTCAGTCGTCCTCGGTTCATTGCAGCAGCAGATTTGCATGAAATAAGCAGGTTAGATGGATGCAGTGAGATTCAGCATTTTACTGCTTCTACTGTGGTTTGGCTGCCGACTGGACTCTACAGGTAACGTAAAAATTGAATTGCTTTGAATTTAATTTTGAGATTTTTTATCAATTGGGGGCCTTCACTTTTTCTTTAACTGTACTTTGATTTACTTTAGATTCCACTGCTTCATAGATGACACAGTTTGTCATTAATTGTTCTTTTCTGTTTGCAGCACCTCTTGTAAAAACAATCGGAAAAGAATCTGATTTTACTCCAATCTGCACCAATGAAACGTCAAACATCATCATGATGATTGTGTGTAAAATCAGAACAGAGAGGAACAATGGAGAGGAGTGCAATCTGCTGTATAAGGATGGAGGTGACTTTGTTCATGAGTGTGACTCCAGATTCTCACTAAAAACCAGGAATCAAACTGTGTTTCTGCACCTGACCAGTTTAACAGCAGCTGATAGTGGGAACTACTCCTGTCAGTGTTCAAATCTTAATGGAACGCATTTTCTCCATCTCAGCATCACAGTTAATGGTGAGTGGATCTATTTAAATGTTATGTCAAACTCATATGAACCATATATTCTCTAACAATGTTTGTTTTATTTCCAATAGAATCAAATCCTAATAATTCATCAGAAGAAGTTTGGAGCCAGTCTGTAGCAGTGACTCGTCTTTCTGCTTTGACTGCTGCAGTTCTCTTCTTTTTCATAGTTTCAGTTATTCTCGTGTTTATTCACAGAAGACGTTCACATCGGTGAGAAACTAATGCAATATTTTTTCTTTTATTTACACTTAGACTTCTCAACATAAGCAATATTTTTTAAAAAAATAATATACATCTTCTGTAAAAATATTAATCAAACAAGTCGATGTCACACTGCTTTATTTCCCAACAGAAAGCAACTGGAGTCATGCATTCATCATGAAGAGGAGGTAATTTATATTTAAAAAATTGATGCATGTTAATTTATTTACACATGCAGATTTTTAGGCTAATTCTACAACATGTTTTTTTCTGCAGGACTCGACTGAAATTGAGCCGTACAGCTCCTACACTCAGAAGAAAAATTCTCTTTATTCAACAGCCATTATTGCACAGCTGTCAAATTAATTCTGACTCCACAAATGTTTAACAAATTTACCATCATAATTCTTGGGATTTTTTTTCTGGAGTATTTCAGATCATTTCCGTCTGATTTATTTATGTCCAACAGGTCTTGACACATTGGGTTCATTTCCCAGTGTTCATTATAAGTTCCTTTGATAAAGACATGTTCATGTGTTCATATAATAAATGGATATATATGTACATCCATTAACATGTTTCAGAGATCTCAGCAGCATGTTGGTTTAGCATAAATGTACAAATCAACAAAGCAAACACAAAGGAAAGTTATCATTTTTGGTGATTTATTAAAAGAAAAAAAAGTACATTTGTTAATATTTGTGTTGTGTAAAAATAGGTTTGAGTAAACATTTAACATTGCTTGCTTTTGTTTTTATTTACTGTAGGAAAACATAACTGAACAATGTCTCACAAATTTTGAAAGAAACCCAAAACAATTTTAAATTAAGAGTCAGACTTGGTTAGACTATGATCAGCCCTGATCACCTTTAAACTACATTTAGACATCAGTTAACATCTTTTTGGGTCATCTGTCACTTTTTAACCACATTGTTTAAACAATAAACAATGTGGTTTATTTATTGTCTGCCGTTTCAAAAAAGGTTTTGCAAAATTGTTGCATCAATCTTGACAAAAGCAGCGCATGATGAAGGTCTTAAGTTTTTTCCTTTAAAGCTGTTGAAACATTCAGTAAATCAAATGTCAGAAAACTATTATTAATCTTCTCATCACACTTCCTGAGCTGGTGAGTTGTTTCTGTGATATGTGTGAGAAGTAATCGTCTTACACATTTCATGTCCTGGATACTTTTGTTATACGATTTAATAATAATAGTAATAATATAAAGAAAAAATATATCTATTTAAAAATATCAAATTTTAACATAAAAAATTGAAGATAGGTATTTATACTCTTAATGTACTGCATGCTGTAACCTTCAGTGTGACGTTTTTATTTCTCTTTACAGCTCATATTCACGATCCTAAACAAAGCAAAGCAAACATGACATTTAGATCTTAAGTTTTACTAACTAACCCCCTGCTGGGGCAGAAAACCAGACAGGAAGTGCCATGACAACATGCTGTGTGCTGCCAGCTCTGTTTTGATTCAAAAGGCAACAGTACATTAAAATACATTTCAGTAACGGTTGATATAAATGAGCTTTAATTTTAAGCAAACTTTTGACCTAACATGGCATTTAAGCTGTAATGTTGAGATGTGCAGAGGGAATTCTAGTTTGTGTTCTGTTGTTTCAAAGTGAAAAAAAAGTGTTACATCCTCTTGAACCACTTTGAGAGATGACAGTTTGTGGTTTGAGTTGCCCAAAAAAGTTCAGACACTTGAGACTTTCTGTTCAGAGCAGCAGCAGCAGATGTTGCATCGACAAGCAGGTCAGATGGACGCAGTGAGAATCAACCTTTTACTGCTTCTGCTGCGTTTTGTTTGCTTTTTGGATGCTGAAGGTAAAGCACAAAGTCTGATTTTCTTTCAATTGAGTCTTGAATTGTTTTTCACTAAATTTATAGTTTCTGTCAATCTTAGTTTAATTTGTTCTATCATTTAAAATTCCACTCTTACAGCAATCAGTTTCTAATTCATTGGTCTTAATTTCTTGCAGCGACTCTTGTAAAAACTGTCGGGAAAGAATCTGATTTCACTCCAATCTGCACCAATGAAACATCAAACGTCATCATGTTGATCATTTGTAAGATCAGAACAGAGGAACAATAGAGAGGAGTGCAGCCTGCGGTATAAGGATGGAGGTGACTTTGTTCATGAGTGTGACTCCAGATTCTCACTAAAAACCAGGAATCAAACTGTGTTTCTGCACCTGACCAGTTTAACAGCAGCTGATAGTGGGAACTACTCCTGTCAGTGTGCTAATCTTCATGTAACGCAGTTTCTCTATCTCAGAATCATAGTTAATGGTGAGTGGATCTATATAAATGTTATGTCAAACTCATATGAACCATATATTCTCTAACAATGTTTGTTTTATTTCCAATAGAATCAAATCCTGATAATAATCCAGCAGATGAAGTTTGGAGCCAGTCTGCAGCAGTAACTCTTTCTTCTGCTTTGACTGCTGCAGTTCTAATGATCATGGTTTCAGTTATTCTAGAGTTTATATACAGAAGATGTTCACAGCGATGAGACACTAATGCAGTATTCATAATTTCATCCTTTGCCTAAATATCAGCTTCACATCTAAAACTGCATATTTTAATTTTTACTCATGATCTACTCTATGATATTTTATCTAAGTTGTTATTTCTTTGGATACGTTTGGCTAAACTCTGCCTGGAAAAAAAAATATACTATCACACTAATCTGGAATTTTTTTGTAATATTTTCTGTTTTAGATCTGAAACATCTGGATCATCTGCTGCTGATATTGTGAGTAAATTCAAGTTTTTTCTTCTGAATTTTGCAACCTGTTTTAGAGATCACAAACTTGTAGCATTTAGATATTGCACTTGCAGACAATGGCCACAAGATGGCACTGTTTTACTGAGAGCTGCAGTATCCAAACTAAGTAACTAAAGCAGTGTTATTCATGCAAACATATATATATTTTAGTTAAAAATGTAAGAAAATGTTGCAGTGTTGCATTTAATGAACAGGTCTCACAGTTCTTTGAATTGTTCTTTGCTGTTTACTTTATTGTTTAGGGTGAAGACAACACAGGTGAACTGTACACGCGTCTCCAGTGGCCAACAACAGACATCTACCAAACTGTTTCATCAGCAAGAAAATAAATCAAACTCGGCTAACGACATCATGACCGACGACCTGGAACATCTGGAAAGGCACAGGAATTGTAATATTTCTGAAAACTTCTGGACCAATAATCTGAGATTAATAAAATCTGCTTTATTCCAGTAATTGAAATTTCAAGTGTATTTCAACTCACAATGATCAGTCTCTGATGGATGTTTGTTGCATTTTTCTGCCTGGTTGTGAACATGTTGGTGTGAAAGTGTTGCATTGAGAAACAGGGACCTGACCTACATCAATCTGTTCCAGGACGCTTTCTTCTCTTCCAGCTCACAGTCGAGCTTCAAAATATATAAAGACAACAAAATAAACATGACGTAGATTTTATCTCGTCTTATTTAGCCCCTACAGATACAGGAAAAGCGGCAGGAAGTCCTGCCGACCACAAGTTGCACGGTTGGGTTTGCATTTATCTGTGTCAATGTCTGATATAAGATGCTACATTACAGAAAAGTACCATTTCTTCTCGGTAATATAAATAAGAGTTGATTGTTTTGGTTTGAAGCAAACTTTTGACACAACAGAACAACTAAACAGATGCAAATATACCTGCAGTTTGTCTGCTCTGTTGTTTCAAAGAGCAGTGGTCAAAGTGGGCGCGTTTTCTTTTCGGAAAAAGTGTCTCAACCTCGTGAAGCACTTTGAAAGATGAAAATTTGTGGTTTGAGTCGCCCAAAACGTACAGACAGTTCAGACGGCCTCAGTTCAGAGCAGCAGCAGACGTTGCAGTCACAGGGAAGTTAAATGGATGCGATGAAAATCACCTTTTTACTGCTTCTGCCATGTTTCGTGTGGCTGTTGGACGGCAAAGGTAGCATTGAAGTCTTGTTTCAGTTTCTGGTCATTTTATTTACATCCATTTTTTTCTCAATTGACTTTTATAGCATTGAAACTATTTCTCATCAGTTGAACTTCACTGTTTGCAGCACCTCTTGTGAAATCGATCAGGAAAGGATCTGATTTCACTCCAATCTGCACCAACGAAACATCAAATATCATCATATTGATCATTTGTAAGATCAGAACAGAGAGGAACAATGGAGAGGAGTGCAGTCTACGGTATCAGGATGGAGGTGACTTTGTTCATGAGTGTGACTCCAGGTTCTCACTGAAACCCAGGAATCAAACTGTGTTTCTGCACCTGACCTGTTTAACAGCAGCTGATAGTGGGAACTACTCCTGTGAGTGTTCAAATCTTCATGGAACATATTTTCTTCATTTCAGCATCACAGTTAATGGTGAGACACTTTTCTATTGCTTATGTCAAATGTTTAGTAGCTATATATTCCCTAACGATGTTTGTTTTGCTTCCAAAAGATTCGAATCCTGACGATCATTCATCAGAGGAAGTTTTGAGTCAATCTGGAGTGATTCTTACTTCTGCTGCAGTTCTCCTACTTATCAAAGTTTCAGTCATTCTGGTATTTATTCACAGAAGACATTCACTAAGGTGAGAAACTAATTCAAAGGTTTATTTCAACTAAAATAGTTGATTTTCATGTCATTTCTCTCTTTCTTCTTCTTCAGCTCATTTATTCCATTATCTATTGTGAAAACTGAATTTTCTTTGAATGTTTGTCTCAATTCTACATTTTGATGATTTTACTTTGACACTAATCCTGATTTTTTTCCACCTGCTTTAGATCCAAAACATCTGGATCATCTTTACATGGATCAGCTGCCACTATAGTGAGTAAATATAATTTACTACTTTATAATTTGCACCAATTCTTTTGCCAAATGGCATAAAAAGGACTAGTAAACACAAGAACAGGCATTCTGTTTTATTCTCCAATTTCTATTCTACTTTGCAGATCATTTTAGAAATTACAAGCGTGTAGCAACCAGTCGGGCTGGAATGAAAAACATTTTTTTCCGTCTTCCATTTATCATTCCATCCATCCAGTTTTTGTTTTTGATCTGAGTCATATGTTCAATTGCCCAGGGTGACATTAGAAAGATCTGAGAGACAGAAAAACATCCTATCAATCTGTTTTATCATCAAGTGGTTTATTTTTGCTATTTTGCTTTCGTAACAGAGAGTTTGTTGTATCTGATTGCTGCTGAGAAATTTTTTTTCTTTTTTTAAATCAGTCTTTTCAAAATCAGATTTTTACGAGAATGTTTTCTGTCTCTTTAAACAACGAGGTAAAACCCAGATGATGAGATAAATTTGCAGATGGGAAGTTGACATTGTGGAGTTTGATAATAGATCCAAGTGGCAACAGACAAGGAGAAAATCAGAAGGCCCAAAACAGAGCCCTGTGGTACACAAGGCTCTGTTGATGTTTAAATAATAAGACCAGATATCATTATTGTGAAAATGTAAATAATTCTGATAATTCTAACAAACCCAAAATAAGACGTTTTACCTGACTTAATTTCAGACAGTGAGATAAAAAGCTGTGTTTCACACACAGTTGTGGTTTCGTCTGTATATAAAACATATTGAATAAAAAAAGAATATTGCAGTTTAAATCCTCAGAAATAAATCTGTTTGGTGTATTAACAGAACAAATCCTTGACCGGAGAAAATTTGAGATTAATTCTTGTTCAATAATTAGACTGTTTTAGCTTCAAGAACAGATCAATGAACTGAATTCATTTACATAAGAAAAGGATTCATGTACTTTAGGAAATAACCACAAGATGGCACTGTTGCACTAACACAGGACCATAGATGCAGGATAAACAATCACAATATGCATATTTACATTAATGTTAATTGTGCTGAAACTGTGAGAAGAAACTGTTGCAAATGTGAATTAAAGATAATAAATAAGTAAATAAATAAATAATTAAATAAATAAATACTCTGTTATTGTCAATTTCTGCCTTCCAGTAATTAGATTTACCAGTTCTAGGAATATTTTCACAAAGGAGCAACATAGATTAATGTCTGTATTGATTAAGAGTATTTTGCTTCAAAATAGTTTTTAATGTTTATTATTATTGTTGTTGTTGTTTAGGATGACGATAACTCTAATGAGCTGTACGTAAATCTCCAGGCCATCCAGAGACCTCTATCAAACCGTCTCCTCAAACTCTGCCAAGAAGAAAGTCACCCGCGGCCTGGAAAAACTGGGAAAGAGCAGGAATATTTATGAAAACTGAAAATCTGTCAGGATAGATACAGTTTGATTTACATTAGGCTGAATTTTCTTATGATTTACTGTTTTAATTTACCTCTTTGTGTGGACAGAATCAGGTTCATTCTCACGTTATTGACTATTAGGAACAGAAAGTGCCATTTCTGTCTTTACAAACCTGTTAAAACACTATTAGTGCATTTGCTGCATGGGACTTATGTACATATAAAATCTGCTTATTATTTGTGTATTAATATGTTATGTTTTTCATTTCTCTTGCTTGAAAACGTATGGGTTATATGACATCACTGATCTGCAGTGGTGTCCAAACGTTTTTGTCATGATGGCCAAAATCATCTGAGTGACAAAAACTCTCAGCCAAAAATACATTTTAAGAAAATGCATAAGAATTCCTTTAAGTTTGTCTTGCTTTCGTCTTTTATTGAAACATTAAGGCAGTCTATTTTGTTGTTTTTGTTGGACTAAAAAATGGGCCCATTTTACATCAACCTGCAGCAGGGAGGTGTCTTCTCTTTGCAACTCACATTCAAAACTGTAAAACTGTCAAGACCACAAAGCAAACATGACATTTAGATCTTCTATCATGCCACCAGCTTTGTTCTGGCGTAAGATGGTGGCTTTGCCAGAACAAAGGAAAACGTGTGAAAAACATGTTTTCTGTGTGCAGAAAACACGTTTACAATCGCTGAGAATAGTTGATTGTTTTGGTTTTAAGCAAACTTTTGACCTAACATGGTTTTTAAACTGTAGTGTTGAGATGTGCAGAGATAATTCTGGTTTGCGTTCTGTTGTTTCAAAGTGACACTGTTATGTAGACGCGTTTCCTTTTCAGAAAAAAGTCACATCCTCTTTGAGACATGAGAATTTGTGGTTTAAAAGTTTAGAGGACAGTTGAGACATCCTCTGTTCAGAGCAGCAGCAGCAGATGTTGCATCAATAAGCAGGCCAGATGGACGCAGTGAGAATCGACCTTTTACTGCTTCTGCTGCGTTTTGTTTGCTTTTTGGATGCTGAAGGTAAAGCACAAAGTCTAATTTTCTTTCAATTGAGTCTTGAATTGTTTTTCACTAAATTTTTAGTTTCTGTCAACCTTAGTTTCATTTGTTCTATCATTTAAAATTCCACTCTTACAGCAATCAGTTTCTCATTCTTTGGTCTTAACTTCTTGCAGTGACTCTTGTGAAAACAATCGGGAAAGAATCTGATTTCACTCCAATCTGCACCAACGAAACATCAAACGTCATCATATTGATCATTTGTAAGATCAGAACAGAGAGGAACAATAGAGAGGAGTGCAATCTACGGTATCAGGATGGAGGTGACTTTGTTCATGAGTGTGACTCCAGATTCTCACTAAAAACCAGGAATCAAACTGTGTTTCTGCACCTGACCAGTTTAACAGCAGCTGATAGTGGGAACTACTCCTGTCAGTGTTCAAATCTTCATGGGACGTATTTTCTTAATCTCAGCATCACAGTTAATGGTGAGTGGATCTATTTAAATGTTATGTCAAACTCATATGAACCATATATTCTCTAACAATGTTTGTTTTATTTCCAATAGAATCAAATCCTGATAATAATCCATCAGATGAAGTTTGGAGCCAGTCTGCAGCAGTGACTCTTCCTTCTGCTTTGACTGCTATGGTTCTACTAATGATCATAGTTTCTGTTATTCTAGTATTTATATACAGAAGACGTTCAAATCGGTGAGACACTAATGCAGTATTCATAATTTCTTCTTTTACTCAGAATCAAGTTCACAGCGTCAGCGCTCTTATTTTTTAAAGAAAAATTTTTTCTGTTTTCTGTAGTTAAGAATAATCTGGCCTAGTTGTCATAGCGCAGAAAGACCGAGCTCTATTTTCGTTTCCTGTCTTCTATAAGTCACTTTAATAATAGTCTGTTCATTACTTTTGCATTTCATAACAGAGGACAACCAGAATCATGCAGAGATGATCTAGAGGAGGTAATGTTCATCAAAATCTATGGATGCATTTGATGTTATTGACATGCAGATTTTAAGCAAGTCTTATTGTTCAACATGTTTTGTTCTGCAGGATTTGACTGAAATTGAGCCGTACAGCTCCTACACTCAGAAGGAAAACTCACTTTATTCAACAGCCACGTTGCACAGCTGTCAAATTAATTCTGACTATGCAAATATTTTCTCTTGAACAGACAAATTTGCCTTCACAGCCCATGGCTGCCGTTTAATTTGTGTTTACGGTTATTTCCTTGTAGTTTATTTATGTCCAATATGTCTTGCCAAACTCAGTAAATGTCTTTGTATTCATTAATGCTGTTGCCATATAAGCTCATTCATTTGTGTTTCGTTTCTTATGTTGTGTCATTTGTGCAGTTGGGTTTAATTCTCTCAGATCACTGTGATTTTTTTATTTATTTTCCCATCATTAAAAACTCTGGTCTTTTTGCCTCAGAAACTAGAACATTTTGTCCAATTTAATGTTGGATGAGGGCAAAAAATGTTTTTTTTTTTATTGTGTTCTTGAATATAGCTGATGCAAATATCTTGTTTTACTGTATTGAGTTTTATGAGTGAAGTACTGCCTAATGTCCGCCAGGTGGCTCTCTTGCACCTTCAACACTTTTTTTTTATTGCCGTGATCTCAACAAATGTATCCTTAATATTTATATAATGTTTATTTTTCGGTAGCCTCATGCTCCTTCAAAATAAAACACCGGAAATCGGAAATCTATTTCTATATCCGGAATAGGAATAAATTCCTATAACATATGATATGCTAGATGTATAGCAATAAAACATATTGTTTAGCAATATAATATATTGTATAGCAATATAACATACTGCTATACAATATAACATATTGCTAAACAATATCACATATTGATTAGCAATATATTATATTGCATATAGCAATGTAATATATTGCTATACAATATAACATGCTGTATAGCAATATAAAATATATAGCTAGAATAAATGTCTGTTATTTTCAGACATTTCAATCAGTCTGAAAATAACATACAATATAACATGTATGTTATATTGCTATACATCTAAGAGTGTTATTATTGTCACCACTTGCTTTATTTTCTGTCTCAATAAATTTCAACTTGTTTCTTTTGACTCAGTCGTTTCCTAACCGTTTCTGCAGACACTGAGTGGTTTTTCCTGTTTCTGATCAAAGTGTGGATTGGACTTACTGCATGGATGTGGTTTTGAGCTTGAGGTCTTCCTCATAATCGTTTGTTTATGATGATGATGATTCAGGATTTTCAGCTCGAGTTTCCACATGGATGGAAACAAAAGTGAAGACTCCAGTTCTGCATCGTTAAGAAGCTTTTTTATATTTGAAAGCAACTTTCTTGTGCAATTTGTGCAACTTTTGACCACAGAACCATCAGACAACCTATATACTTTTCATCTGCGTTCATATTTAGTATTAAGTTTTGATCGTTCCCAACCAGTTTATTCATTCATGTTAGTTCTGACTTTGTATTCTGTGTGCTGGTAACTAAAACTGATTCTCGTCGTTTTTGGTCATTGCAGCCAATCAGCCGCCTGTTTTTCATGCTGTAATCAGAACCAATAGAGGAAGCACAAATATGATCAGAACTGTTTACCTTTTCTTTTTTTTTGTAGGCCCTGGCTAATTGCAGACACCTTATCGACTTAATTACACATCATTCCTGGGATCAATTACCAAAGTAAGTAATTAATTTATTCGGTGTGTGTTTGCCCAGCTGTCAGTGGGGCTTTTGTCACTGGAGGTATGGTTTGCTGCATCATTAATCTGAGAGGCTTGGCAACTACAACCTGATCCACATTACAGCATCTCTGCATCGAATGGGGAAACCTGTCAAGCTTCCTGGTGTTTGTGAAGAAGTCACTTATCAATTGTGGGGATTTTTTGGTTCTAAATTGATTAAAAAACCTTCAGCAGATGGACTTTTGTCAAGTAATAGTTTGACAAAAGTCCTTGCCTTGCTGCATTTTACAATGAAGTTAAGTTTTATATCAAGACTCTGACAAAAAGTAACTATTAAAACAATTAAAATCTGTACTGCTTTGAATGTATAGTTGGGAACTGAAGCCCCTTAGCTTTTCCTTGAACAATATTTATCTGTATTAGTTTTTCTTGAGGCATAACAAATGTTTCACTCTGTCGTTATACAGTGTGTCTGCGAATGAAGTTAAAAAAAATCATCTTCCCCCATTCCTCCCCCCTCACACACAACAGTGCGAGGGGGGAGTGACATCACAAACTGTGATGTCACTCATCCTCTCTGTGACATCACTGGAGACTGTCTCTATATTCCAAGATTCCACAGAGAGATTCATTTGCGGTTTGACGAAGTTCAACAGAGAGAGCAGTTATGGCGGAGAATTTATTTTCTTTGACAGTGAGCGTTCTGGAAAAAAGGTGTGTGGATCTGGAGGATGAGAACCAATTCTTAAGAACAACAGTGGAGAGCATGAAGCAAAAAATGAATCAGCTGACAGGCAGGACTCATTGCGACCTTGGAGACTTGATGAGTGAAAACAGAATGTTGAAGGAGAGCAAGGACCAACAAGTCTGCAGAATCGAGGCTTTAAATAATGAATTGGAGGAAGCTAGAGGAACAATTCAATCATTAAAAAAACAATACAGCGACATGAGGAAGGAAAATGAAAGGTTGCAGTGGACGAACATTTCAATCGGTCGGAAGGCACAGGAGTCATACAGGGAGAAAACTAGAGCTTGCCACTGGTTCGAAAGCGAGAATGATGAATTGAATAAAGAGATAGTGACACTGAAAATAAAATTGGACAAGATAAAGAGAAAGGCAACCGAGGCCCAGACCCCCGAGACAAAGGAGGACATCCCACAGAAGAAGGAAGACGACATCACGCCAACAGTGTTTCAGAGAGTTGGGCGTGCTTTTGTTCAAATGTACCAGGAGGGGACCCTAAGATATTGGGTCCCATCGTGGATTTTTTAAAATTTCTCCAATTTTGCAATCTGGACAAAAACACGCCCAACTCTCTGAAGCACTGTTGGGTCTCTTGGGTTGAAGGATGGAAGAGTTTTGGAGAGGAGGCTCCGTCTGATAGTGGATCCTCGGATTGTGGAAGAGCAGTGTGGTTTTCGTCCTGGTCGTGGAACAATGGCAGTTAGTCGGACTCGTTCCCTGTGAGAGTTGGACTCCACCAGGGCTGCCCTCAGTGATTCTGTTCATCACTTCATGGACAGAATTTCTAGGGGCAGTCAAGGTGTTGAGGAGATCCGTTCTGGTGGACTTAGGATCGCATCTCTGCTTTTTGTGGATGATGTGGTCCTATTGGCTCCATCGGGACGTGATCAGCAGCTCTCGCTGGAGCGGTTCGCAGCCGAGTGTGAAGCGGCCAGGATGAGAATCTGTGCCTCCACGTCCAAGGTCCTGGTCCCTCACAAGGGTCCCAGGGAAGACCCAGGACATGCTGGAGGGACCATGTCTCTCAGCTGGCCTGGGAACGACTTTGGGTTCCACCACAGGAGCTGCAAGAAGAGGCTGGGGACAGGAAAGACTGGGCCTCCTTTCTGAAGCTGCTTCCCCCGAGATCCGACCCTGGATTAGCAGCAGACAATGGACGGAAGGACAGACGGGTGGAAGGATGGACGGACAGACGGGTGGACGGGCGGATGGACGGATCTTTTTCACGTGGGTGTATCCTTTTTCAGTTTGCTTTTGGTTTTACATTTTCTACAGCACATATATCAAAGTCGAGTCCTGCAGTCAGACTACAGTGACTTATAAAAATCACTTTGTGTTTCTATTTTATTTTGTAATTAAATTTGTCTTCCTCTCTGCAGCTTGGGGAGCGTCCATGTGGCAGAAACATGGACAGTGGAGGGAGATGTGCATTTTGAGTTCTGCTCCAAACGTCCGATTATTAGAAGCCATTTTGGGCTTTTTCTTTTTTTTTAATTAGCTTACTGATGTTATGAGTTGCTGTTTTAGGTGTTAAAATACTATTTTTGTTTTCCAGACAATAGAAACACAAAACGACGCACAAATTACTAAAGTTTTTTTTGTTACTGTTTTAACTTGATGTTGTTTTATGGTTACTACAGTAACCATTAAACAATCTCTCCTTCAGTTTAAATTTATAACTGGAAACACAGTGATGATGTAATCATTATAAAATAATCATTATAAAATAATCATTATAAAATAACCATTATAAAATAATCATTATAAAATAATCATTATAAAATAATCATTATAAAATAATCATTATAAAATAATCATTATAAAATAATCATTATAAAATAATCATTAGAAAATAATCATTAGAAAATAATCATTAGAAAATAATCATTAGAAAATAATCATTAGAAAATAATCATTAGAAAATAATCATTAGAAAATAATCATTATAAAATAATCATTATAAAATAATCATTATAAAATAATCATTATAAAATAATCATTATAAAATAATCATTAGAAAATAATAATTATAAAATAATCATTAGAAAATAATCATTATAAAATAATCATTATAAATAATCATTATAAAATAATCAATATAAAATAATCATTATAAAATAATCATTATAAAATAATCATTATAAAATAATCATTAGAAAATAATCATTATAAAATAATCATTAGAAAATAATCATTATAAAATAATCATTAGAAAATAATCATTATAAAATAATCATTAGAAAATAATCATTATAAAATAATCATTATAAAATAATCATTAGAAAATAATCATTATAAAATAATCATTAGAAAATAATCATTAGAAAATAATCATTACAAAATAATCATTAGAAAATAATCATTAGAAAATAATCATTAGAAAATAATCATTATAAAATAATCATTAGAAAATAATCATTATAAAATAATCATTATAAAATAATCATTATAAAATAATCATTAGAAAATAATCATTAGAAAATAATCATTAGAAAATAATCATATTGATCTTTGACAAAACTATTAACTTTTGTCAAAGATCAATATGATTTTCACTGCGTTGTTGTTGTTAGAAGCTGCTGAAAACAACAACAATACAACAATAGTTACAGTAAATAAACAGTAAATAGTTATTAACTATTTAACAGTAAATAGCTATTTACTGTTAAATAATTATTTACTGTAACTATTTAAATATAAATAAATAACTATTTAACAGTAAATAGTTATTTACTATTTATTTGCTGTTAAATAGTTAATAACCACTTAGTTATTAACTATTTAATAACTAAATAACTATTTAGTTATTAAATAGTTAACAGTAAATAGTTATTTACTATTTATTTGCTGTTAAATAGGTAATAACTATTTAGTTATTATCTATTTAACAGTAAATAGTTATTTACTGTGACTACTTAACAGTAAATAACTTAAATAGTTATTAACTATTTATTGTTAAATAGTTAACTATTTACTGTTAAATAAGTATTTAACTGTTAAATATTTAATAACTATTTAACAGTAAATAAATAGTAAACTATTGTTAAATAGTTACAGTAAATAGTTATTTACTGTAACTATTTAACAGTAAATAACTATTTAACAGTAAATAGTTACTGTTAATGTCAGTTACTTTCCTCATAAAGTGTTCAGTAATCTAAATGACTATTTCAAGGAGTAATCAGTAATAAAAGTTACTTTTTTAGATAGTCTGGCTGTAATGAGAATATAATCTGAGACGGCTCTAACAAGCTTCTCAGAAACACAAAGACAAGAACATCAACATCATAGAGCAGCACAATAATGTAGTTTCAGTTTATAATGCACTTTAATTTATGCATTTATCTTGATATTAAGAAACATATTTAGTTTTTCAAAACAATTAAATTTTTGCTGTTTGCCTGTTGAATTTGTTTTCCTTTGAGGTTACTGACAGATCCATAAGAAAATATTGCTTTATTCATTTCATTATCCAATAATATACACTGTTTGGCCTCGGCTTGCAGCAAATTTGGTTTTTTGGCCCTCAGTGTATTTGACTTTGACATCCCGGCTCTACAGTTTTAAACTACAACCCCTCATTTTTTTTTCACATTAAATAATTCAGCTGTGCGGTTTGGGACCGCCTCCATGAGCCGCTCTTAACCACCAAATTTACTCATTCATGCACACTGAAGGCTGCATGTTTGCTGCACTTAAATAATTGCGTGCTATTAAGTTAGAGAAGAAAAAACTCCATTTAGGATCAAATGCAAAGAAAAACTCATTAATTCTTTTTTTGCACAATTTTTAATTTAAAAAAATTATTAAAGAAAATTCTGCCCTAAATAATTCTGATAAACTGTTATTTGTATAAAGAGCCACTTGATATGAGAATTTTTTATGTTCTTAGATAAATTGTGTGTTTTATACTCATTTTATACTCTGGTAAACCTTTAACCCACATTGTGTAGCTGGTCATGCTCTGAGCTCGTGGTTGTCAGTCATGGAGCTTGTGGATAACGGGGGTCAAGCGCTGATAGGTGAGAGGTCATGCTCTGAGTTTGTGGCGATTTTACCACGGAGTGCAGCAGCGCTCTGATTGGGTAACCCGTCTGGCAGAGGGAAATTGGCCTTTCCTTTCTCTCCTGCGAGGTTTTTTGTTGATGAGTATAAAGGTGGAGAAGCCCCTCCGTTTGGCAGAGGCTGCTCTGGGTTTCATACGGACGTCCAGCCACGTGTTTGCTGCTCTGCCCAGACTGATGGCTCTCCGGTCTTTGTGTCACTATAAGAATCTAAGCATCACGTGTTGTTTGTTGTGTGAATGAGTTTGCTGTAATTTGTGGCGGAATAAAAGGACACATTTATTCTAGCAGAACAGCAGGTTGTCATTATGCATCACCGATCACCGAAATATACTTTATTACTAATAAATATCACATGGAATAAAATATATTTATGCAATTTGCACTTTTCGGTTTTCTGCTTGAACACAAATGAATCAAAAAGTCTTGAAGGTCATTCAGTCTTTTGATTCAGGTGAATGGACCATCTAAACCTTGCAGGACTCTTTCAATGCAAATTCAATTTGCATTTAGAGAACCCTTCACATCCCGAAACAGGAAGCTTTAATTGAATTAATTTGATTGCGTTAAAAGAAACGGGACAATACAATCTTTCATAAGTCTAAATATTTTTGTTTTTTAATTCTACTTTCATTTCTGCAGCCTTTGACAAGCCCATTTTCTTTGTTTATGTTTTGGCAGTCTGGTGTTCCCCGGACTCTAACTTCGACATTCCTGTTTACTTGCAGAGGAAGTAAGAGGTCAAGAACATCTGACCTGAAACCCTCTCCTCTTTATTTATCAGCTGTGTAACTTCCTTTTTTTCTCTCCATCTATGCACGCAATTCGTGCAGCCGACTGTGTTCACATTTTCTGTCTGTCATGTTATTTTTTCTTGTCTGTTACAGCGACTGTTGCTCAGGACTTGTGCAGACTTGCAGTACTTGGGGTCAGAAGAACAGGTTGCTCAGCACAATTCAAGGAACTTCCTGGCCGAAAGAAAACCCCAAAGAAACATCAGCTATCATGACTGAGGCTGCAGGTTCAGCAGGATACTTGCTAATGAGGATTCAGTGACTTGCAAAAAAAAAATCCCTAAATGCATATCACTTTCACTACTGAGAGCGTCCACCTTTCCTTTAATAACAACCGACTGTTTGGTTAAGAGCTTCAATTTCTGCTGAAAAGCATCTTTTTTTAATGTAAGACGAAAACACTGAGATAAACTGCTGCTGCTCCAAACATAGAGTTGCACACTTGTTTTTTATTTGCACAAATGATGGTTATTTTTCCTAATCAGTCACGATGTCATGGTTTTATGTGTGTGAACTGTGGTTGTTTTGTTTATGAAGGTATTCCCCGGTAAAAGTTCAAACCTCCGAGACTGGGAAGCAGGATTTGAAAACAACAACATGCCTGGATCTTCTGAGGATCTTCAGGGGAACCACCACAGGTAATTTCTTTTGTTTTTTTCTCTGAAACGTCCTGAGTGAAAACTAGTTACCTGAAATGATGATAATCTGTAAAAAGGTCCAACTCCTCCATGCCCTCCCTCTGATATTGCTGCCTGACGATTGGTCAAAAACAGCCAATCAGAGCCACTGCTTTCTGACTGACCGGCAGACTGCGACTATATTTGACAGTCAGATGGAGAAGTTTGTGAATGACAGAAGTGACACCTGCAATAAAAAAAACCCAACTGTGTTTCAGTCTGACAGGAGGTTTAATTTAGATTCATAAAAGTCAAAGCAGCTAATGTTTCTAACCTGATTCTGCTTTAAAACCAGATTGAACCTCAGTATTAAAGGTACTTCCCTGCCCCAATTTAGTCCAAGTTATATGACTTAATTACTGTCATTAATCCATTTAGATACAGTAGCTATGGTCATATTAGCTGTAACCATGTGCAAAACACTTATAACGCACTTACATAATGATAAGAGACATTTAATGCGTGCTTAAGAGTAAACCTCGCAGGAGACTCAGACTGAAAGTGAAATATGATAGAAAAAACACTGCAGCAAAAACAATGTCATATTTTAATCATGATAAATGTTTTGTGTGTCTTTTAAAAACCCGCAGCAACACAACCCAGAGCTGCCAGGTTCTTTCCTATTCGTGACTCTGAGGAATTAAAGAGGAACTTCCCCATAAATAAGGAAACAATGTGGAGCAACACACCCCTAATAAATAACTGGTTATTTATTAGGCGTTACAAAAACACCTGAAACGTGATGCTGTGCAATTGATTCAAATGAATCTGCAGCTTTACATACATGAAGGTTTTGGGGCTCAGTTTGTTGCTCACAGAGGAGCTTAAGATCCTTTTGCTAAGTTTCAGTTTCTGTTGTGATTCAGTCTGGACTGTTAGGTTTCTCTTTTCAGAAATATCTTGAACTTGGGATACAATTTGCATCAATTAACCATTTAGTGTTTTTTTGTTTGTTTTAAGATTTTGTCGTTGCCATTATTGGAAATAGAAAAATGTCCACCCCAGGGCGTGTGCTATGGTTTCATACCTCAGATCCCAGTCAGCCTGAAACTATATTTTTGCGTTGAGCTGCAGCAGTGAGTCCTTCCTCAAAGTCTGAGAGGATTTTGGATGTTCCTGTTCTTCACATAACTCTTCCTGGCAATGCGTCGCTCACCTGTTGACGATCCCATGTCTTCTTCAATTACTTTAAAATTTAATGCTATTGTATTCATTGCATCCTTCTCCTGACTGATACCTTTGTGCACAAGAATCCTTTGTAACGTCTCTGCAAACTATAAAAGATGTAAGAAATGATCTGACAAGTTGGCTTTACTTGGTAATCGTATGGTTGTTTCACAACATGGGTTTACAGTAACAGTAATGATTCAACCAACCAAATTTATTGTGCTCCTAAATGCCTCTTCCTGTTCTCTGTTTCTTGATAGAACAGAGGAAATCACAGCTTAGATTTCCTCTGACATGACGTTCATGCGTGGTTCATAGATTCCCTGGAGGAGTTGGTTTTATGTTCCTGTAGAAGGCGGGCGAAACGGCGTGAAGTGGACGCTGAACGTGTCACGGCATCTGAGCGGTGATGAAACTTACCGAACATGAGCTCAGCAAACTTCTGTCACATTTTTTTCTTCTGCTGTGGTTTTTGTGGTTGAAGCCAGACGTGGTTCACCGCCTGGACGCGAAAGGAGAACATGTCATACGGGAATTAAATGAGAAACCAACACAAAATCCAGAAATGTAACAGCGTAACTTCGTATTTGGTTTGTGATTCTTAGCCGTTCTTCAAAATAGAAAAGACGAGAAAACGACACACTGTTTCTGCTGAGGGACCAGTGATTGTGAGAGACGCATTGCTACATGAGAATGTGATTATGCATCAGAAAATAAACCTTGAGTAAGCCAAGAACTTTAGGGAACTTTTACTATTGGTATCAGTGTTTTTTCCCCTCTGGCAGCAAGATCAAGTAAATATTGTTTGCAGAAGTGATGACACTGTTTACTGGGTGCTGAGTAAAAAAAAAAATAATTAAAAAAAAAAAAAAATATATATATATTATATATATATATATATATATATATATATATATATATATATGCAAAAGTCGGTGTTTTGACTAGCTTCAATGTTATTAGCAGAAATATAAAAAATAAACACCATAAAGCGGACATGGAAAGACCTCAAATTAAGTTTGTGTGATTTTTTTTTTTTTAAGTTGTTTGTTCTTCAAATCTGATCTTTAAATTTTTAACTTTCTTCAGAAATGATTTGCAGTATTTATTTATTAAATTGAATTGAAAGAAAATCCTTAGAGGCGGAGGGAAGCACCTTCTCTCCTCCCCCACAAATAATTTCCATGAGTCAGAAGAAACACTATTAAAGCAGCGCAGCACAAAGAGAAACTATTTTCTAGTTGCTGCAGCAGTGACAGGATGCTACTGATCCTCTCTGTCCTCTTTTTGGCTTTTAATGGTAAGACGACTTTTGACTTTTATTTTTGCTTCACCTGTACTGACTGTATGACTCTATTATTAAACAATGATATTGTGCAGTACACAGTGAAACAAAAGATATTTTTATAAGAACTTGTAAGAATTTGGCTCATATAAAAAATGTTATTTTAATATTAAAATCCTATTTTATTATTTTTCTAACATTAAATGTATCTTAAGTTAATTTGTGATTAGTTGGGCTAAAAAAATAGATCCAGTTCATGTAAATAATAAAATATATCTTTTATTATATTTTGTAACAAACTTTATATGATATATACAATATATATTTTAAAATAAAATATATTATTTTACAATAATACAATTTAAATTTTATGATTGTATATCATAAAATATACATTATTATTTATGCACTTGCGTCATTTATTATTATTATTATCTCTATTTTCTTAAGTTATTAACATGAAATGTATTTTCAGTTTCCTTTGTGGTTTACTTTTGATACATTATTATATTATTTATTGCATTTTCTTTATATTCATGTAATTTATGGATTCATGTGTTTCTATTTTATTTATTTTTTTAGGACTTATGCAATAATAATTTTCTGATTATTCTGTCTCACCCTGTCGAACCGTTAGACTCTGTTTGCTGACTCTGTATTTCTGTTTCCAGCCTGCGCCTCTCCCATCAGCCTCCATGGGACGACCACGGTCGCGTACGGCGGCGAGGCAAACTTCAACTGTACGCTCGCAAACCAACAGGTAAAGTCCCACATCTGGAGCGTTTTCCTGACAGCTGGCTCTCAACAAACAGCCAGGACTCTCTCAAAGGTCACCGGTGATGTACTGACTGTTTGTTTCCCCCGCAGGCGTTCTGCAGGTCACCTGGCAGCGGGGTCTTAGACCTGAGTCATTGGAAAACATGGCAACGTACAACAAACCTGTTGGGGAGCAAATAAATGAGCCTTTTAAAGGGAAGGTGATCTTGCACAATTCGTCTTTGAGCTCCTCGTCCATCACATTGAGGGATGTGACGTGGGCAGATGAAAACTGTTACGTCTGCTCCTTCAACGTGTATCCCGACGGCTCCAAAAGGAAGCAGATCTGTCTCAAGGTGGAAGGTGAGCTGCTGTTTCTTTACGACTTTCTCTGTTTCAAAATGTCGGAAAACACGAAGCAGGAGTAACGGTTTCCAATTTTTCATGAAGGGATATCAGAGATGCAGAAATGGAACTCCTCTGCAAGCAGCTCTGCCCTAACAGCAGAAAGGAAGAACTCAGTTGCTCAGCCACAGGGAAACCCACACCCAAGATTTCCTGGAACATCTCCGATCTCGCTCTCACAGACGCCACAGCGACTACAGTCAACAACAGTGATGGGACGTCCACCACCATCAGCAACATCACAGTGCAGATGCCGAGAGACTGGAGAGGACATGTGTACTGTGTAGTGAACCAAGGACTGCTGGGACAGAGGCAGGAGGAATTCTCTTTTTTCTCACTTGGAAAAAATGAGGAGGAGCAAGGTACGCATGCTGAACTTAATGGTTTTAAAAGCTATCATGTGGAGATGTGTGTAAACGAGCAGCTTGTCCTGATCTGCTGCCTGGGAGGGAACCGATCAGGAAGTGCTACTGCTGTGGAAGTTCAAATTCCAGATAATCTTCAGATTGATGTACCTGGCTCCAGTTCAAGGAAGTCCCACACAGGCATAAGAAATTCCCCAAGAGTTCTGACTGCCTGGTTGTGATGTCAAAGATTTACACACCTGATTGTGTCAATGATCAACCAATCAGGAAGTCAGGAAATCCCAGAAACTCTCTTCAAGGTTAATGACTCGCAGTTTAAATTCGTAGTCCTGGAAGTCAAACAACAGAATCAAAGCGAACTGAGTCATGGTTCCCTTTAATCAGCTGAGCTGTGACTCACAGGCCCCCAAGGCTTTAGTTTCACTTTAGTTTCATGTTCCCGGAAACCCCACGTCACACTGTGTGCTGTGGGGCAGAGTGGGGTCTCAGGTTTACTGTTCTAATCCCAGAGGCTCATTCTCTGAATGTCATTAGTAACAGTAAGAGAGGGAGGGATTCCCAGCTTCCTCTTTTGGGGTGGGGAAACATGATGTGGCTCATTTCTGCGCAGACTGACCAAGTGTCGTTTCTCTTCAGGAAATGTGTCACAGAACGTTCTGATCATCGCAGTCCTAATAATCATCATCTGCATCACTGTCGCAGCGGTCCTATTGGTCCACAAAAGGTGAGAGGTTTCACTTTCTGGCCTGCGCGAAAAAACTTCAACATGCATCATCTAATCTTTCTGTTTTCTCTTTCCAGGAGATTAAAGAGAAGACGCAACGATTTCATCGCTGTTTGATCCGCCTTTTCAGCAGCATTCAAGCATTACCACAACCTCTGGAGTCTGTTGCACTGATGACGTTCATAAGCTCCAGCCGGAGCTGCAGCAGCTCACATTTCTCTGCAATTGCACTTTAACTCGAAGCTTTTCTACGGACCTTGTTGAATGTGAAAGTCACAGCACAGCCGCAGTGTCGCGTAATAGAACGTTGACGTCAGCAACACGACTTCTTAACTGAACCTCTGGCGCCATCTAGTGTCCTGTTCCTTCAGCGACCATCCTGAGAAGTTGTGATTCTATTCGTGCAAACTTATTGGACGTCTTACCTCAGTTAAAATATATATATTTAGACATGTTTTTGTTATTTTGATATTTATTGCTTGCACAAAAAAAAGAAAGCAAAATGAATGCACATTTTTATCTAATGCCAGGAATGTGAAATTTTACTTAAATTTGTTTTGCTATTTATTTTCAAACCTATTTATTGTTTTATTGAGTAAATGTTTTTTTATATATATATTTTTGAAATGATTTGACTTGTGATTAGGCATCAGACCTCTGGTATGAAAGATTATTGTACAAATCCTAAACTTTGTCTGTAAAGAAAATAAATGTTCATGCTTAATTAAGCATTTAATGGGATTTTCAGATTAAAACACACAAACTTCATCATACTCAGTCGGAATTAAGGCCAATTTCTGCTCAAGTACGTTTTTTAAAAAATCATTTTATTTTTTACTCTCGGCATGTAAGTAAGTAATCAATCAATCAATGAATGCCTGTTTGTTCTCAGTGCAGGAGATGGAACCCAAATATCGCTTCACCAACCTGCTTTTATGGCGACGTTTCATAGAAGTGAAGATGCCGCATCCAAGCTTGACTGACCCATTACTGGAGCCCTTCATTGTGTTGCTGATGGATCCAACATAAATAATCTACAAATCAATGTTGCAGACCTTTGCCATATTGAATATTTTTTGTATGTTTGTCATGTTGAAAGACCCAAGGTTTGTGGTAACTATAATGTGTACAAGATCCTCTGCATGTTTTGTTGTAACTCTGAACATGTAAAGTAAGTAACTATGAAACCAGGCCGTACATGTCAAAATGAACAGCAGAATAGTACACATGTTCACACAATAGCTTCCAATTTTTTGTGAACATAGGAGGAAAAACAAAAAGTAATTTGTTGTTTAGGAATGGTGCAACATAAGTATCAGCATACTTCAGGCAGGGATAGAACTTTTACATTTTTCCAGTGGAAATTATCTTAATGAAGAAAAATATTTTAAGTTGGAGCACCTGGATTACCAGGTGCTTGGCTGGTGCAGTAGCTTCCATATTTGCTAATTACCTAAAAATACTTTATTCAAGTCTTTTCTGATATACACGGAGCTTTTATATTTGGAGTTCTCCCAACTTTTTTTATAAACGGGACAGGACAAATAAAAAGCACTTTTTCATTAGAAATACTCAAATTTGCATAAATAAACTCAAACATTGTGGAAAATGTTTTCATAAGCGATGAAGCTGTAAAGGGTGGGACAGTGACGTTGAGCATTTGTTGTAAACATTGGGAATTATCTCCATTGTAACTAATCTCAAGAAGAGTATTATTTTTTTGTAAATCCAGAATGGAAAAAAATTATGTTGTGGAACTTTGTTTAAATATACAAAACCTTTTTACTTGCTGTTAAAAGCCTTGAAAACATTTCAGCAAGGAATGTTTTCAAACATGTGGTATTTGGAGTAACTGGAGCCAAAGTTGTTACTGGTTTGGTTGTTTGGTCAATGTGTGTTTGAAAAACCTAATTTGTGATGTGAGTTGAAATTGAAGTATCATGGTGGTCAGGTGCTTGATTAGCACA